ACCTCACTGAAGGCTGTTGGTAACAAAACACACTGATTTCATGGGTGTGGGCTTCATCAGTCTTAAAAAAAAGCTGAAGTCACTGCAGAACATGGCTGAGGGGTGTAAACCAGATTAAAATTAGTAAAAACGAACAAATCATGTTCCTGTGCCTTTGAAAGGACTCAGGTTGCTTTCCTAAGACTGCCAGTCTCTCATATGAGAAGGATAAACCCTTGAAGCAGTGACACACTGCCTGAAGCACAAAACTGTAACGCTTTCCAGAAAAGAAAAAGACACCAAAACCCTCCTCCACCAAACCCAGCCAATCTGGGCAGAAAATGGAGGTTTTTCATTGATTTGTGAGGACGGGGTGTCTGCCTCGGCCCTGTCACCCGTTTCACCCGTGTCTGCTCCAGGTGCTGCTGTGCAGAAAGTCAGTTGGGTTAGCTGAGGGCAAAGGCCGATGTCCCTTATCTGCTGCTGATTTAGGTGCTAGCAGTTAACTCTCCTCACTGAAACACCACCTCGATGGGTTGGTTCACTTTTCTATTTACCTTTATGTTGCTGGGTTAGAAATTAAAATAACTGAGCAAAGTCCATCCTCCTTGAGATACTGATGAGCATTAATGAGAGCCCCCTCAGTCTCCTCTTCTCCAGGCTGAACAGCCCCGGCTCTCTCAGAAATAATGAGCATAAACCATGGACTATGGACAGCTTCCTTCCCAAAAACCTGCAGAAAGTTTCCCCTCCACTTCTCACCAGTTCAACGTTGCAGGAGCAGCACGTGAGTGGGTACAAGCGGCAGCACCACAGCGAGGTTCAGCTGCTCTGTAAAACAGCAGGAAATTTGGACTCTGACTTTGTGAGGACATTTCCTGATGACAGAGTTTGGGGAGTGAAGGCAGAGCCCGCAGCCAGACAATATTTCAAATAACGTAGATCTCAGGCCACCTGTGCTTACCCGTGCATGTCCCAGAACAGCTCTTTCGGTAGCTGAATTTCCTCTGTTGCTTTTTAACCTTAATAGCTCTTTAATTACTGCCCTTATTTTCAAATCAAGTACACATCTGCGTCATATTAATGAATATTCATTGTCACTGGAGAGCTATTAAACGCATTTTTACCTGTGTTTCCAAGGGAATAGATGCCAGCTGAATGTAGCATTATCCAATTTCAGCCTGTCCTCGGCACTGTAATAATATCAAGCCCTATTAGAGAAGGCTCACAGATACATAAAAATAATACTGATTATTTATTTGCTTTACAGCAGCACTTAAGGATTCCTGCCAGGATTGTGGCTGTGCTGTGCAAGGCTTCGTGTTGAAAAGAAGGAAGTGGTTATTTAATATTTTTTACGATGGATTTATACTGGAGGAACAACTTCTCCTGCACCAGTCCACCAGGGCTTGCCACCAAGTATTTCACACAGAGATCTTACGTGAGAAGGGAAGGCATTGTAGGAGGTTTTGTGATTTTGCTGGCTTTGACCTCTTTATGTCATTTTATTTTCCATCTTCGGAGCCTCCCTGACTTGCAGGACCTGCAGCTGAGGGGCTGCAGCAAGAAACTGAGCTCACAGAGGGTAAAACACAGCAAAGGGCCCCTCTTCAGCTTCACTGACACCTGGGTGCAGCCTCCAAACCTTCCCATGAGGCAGACAAGCAATGATTAATTACAAATAATGTCATCAAGCGTCCTGCAGAGCAAACCAAGGCACTGGCATGGGCAGCAAGATGGAGAAACCTTAAAAAGATCCTACTGAGATGTTAGCAGGATTGCAATGTCCCGTTGGGCGCAATTATCCCATCCCATCCTCTTACTATTTCTTATCTACCTTCATTCCTCCAGAGGCTACAGATGGAGCTGTCCACTGCTCAGAAGATGTGAGGATGTGCTGTAATTTCAATGAGTGCCATTGAATCCCATGCTATGGGCTTCTCCTGGCCTCCTGCAAGGGTAGGATGAGATTTCTCTCATGCGAAACGATGGTGATTCTTCCTCCTTCCCTCCTGGCAGTAATGTTAACTGGGCTCCGCTCTGGAAATGTAGGTGTAAATGCAAAGCTGGGAGTCTCCTGTGCTCCAGACTGCTGGGGTGGGAAAGCATCTCCTTCTCCCACCCCAGCAGTGAAGGGCTTTGCTGAAAGACAGAGGCTCCTCTGGGTGCACATCCCCTAATTGGGTCCTTCCCATCCCAAGGTCTAGGTAGGCAGCAGCATTTTCCCCATTTCTGGTCTATGACACTGATCTAAAAGGGCTAAGATCAAGCTCTTGGCTTGGCATTAAAAAATGTGGAGAAATCCTGAGGGGAAAGCCTTTGCTTTCATTCATTAAAGTCCTGGGCATCAATTCAGAAAAGAGAGGCAGAGAGCTTAGGGGTCTGGGAAGGGGATCAAAGAAACCCGCAGCAGCCATCCGTCAGGGCTGGAGGAGGACTTGGACACCTCTGATGAGGACTTTTGGGAATGAGCATCACCACCGGTGTCCTCACCTTTGGGTGACCTTACCTTGACTCTGCCAGCTGAGCTTCTGGCTGCCTGCAAACAGCTCCTGTCCATCCACAAGTGTGAACATCTGGGGCATGAGGAAAGCCAGAGAAGCTGCTGGAATGAGCTTTGCAGGTCCATCTCAACCAAGAAACCTCCAGGCACATCATGCAGGGCCCCAACTGGAAAAAAACCACCCCACCAGCCATTTCCAGGTGTTGCTTTGCCCAACAGCCAGGAAAAGGATGAGAAGAAAATGAGCTGCAGGTGTGATGCTTTCCCACAAGCAGCTGGGCAGACGGCTGTGGAGACAGACCTTGCTTGGCTTTTTTGCCTTCCCATCCACAACGCGTGGCAGAGCTTGGCGCAGGTAATGATTGCTTGGCCCAGAAGTGAAATACCATGTTTTTGTTGCCCAGAATAAGGAGAAACTGTCCTTTTTTTGATGCCCAAGAAAGCTGCAGCCCCCAGGGCTTTGTATAGCCCATGCCAGGCCCAGCTGTGTCTCCTCAAGTGCTTCTGGCTTGAAGTTTCTCAGCAGGGTTTGGCATAGCCCATGCCAGCACCTGGTTGGCATCCAGGGCCCCAGGGAACAGCTCTACCTGAACTGGCTCCTTTGTTTTTGGAGCACAAGGGATCACCTCCTGGCTAGGGGGGCAGGATGAAACCACCAGAACACCGCAGGGTGTTTGCACAGCACAGAGCATCGTCTGCTCCAGCTGTACGATGCCCTGGAGGGGCCAGGACAGCCTGTGTCCTGGGAGAAGGAGCTGTCAAGGCTGAGGAGTGCCGCTCCCGGTGGGTGCATGGCCAAGGAGAGCTTGCCATCTGCTGGAAAGCGATCGGCATTGACAGGCGACAACAGCGGCGAGAGCTTTTGAGCACAGGAACAGGCGAATGGGCGGTGTGAGCCCTCTTTGGAGGTGCCCATCCCCATGGCAGAGGTGGAAGGGAATACACGTTTGTGCGACCAAAGCATCTCGCCTCATTGCAGGGCAAAGCGGTGGCATCGCTTGTCTCCGCAGCACCATTTGCCAGCGTCTGTCGAGCTGTCTGCGTGCTGTTCACAGCTTCCCCCACCACTTTCCGCATCGCTGGGATGCTTCCCTCCCTTTGATGTATTTTCAGGCTTCTTCAACCTTTTCTTACCCACCAGCTCAAACTGGCATTGAGCATCCTGCTCCCAGCCACATCAATCCCAGGACACACGACCTGAGCAGAGGCCTCAGCTTTTCCAGTCAGATTTTATTAACATCCAGGAGGATACAAACACATCCCCAGTGCATGGGATTGAAGAGCCTGTCTACCAAAAGATGAATTAAACCTTCCCCAGCAGTTGATAGGTGTTGATTACATTAATGCACTGTATAGCATTGCTTATGTTATCAAAAGTCCCATCAGCCTTACTGGCCTGTTATCCCTGTGTGAGATGCTGCACAACAGAACCAGGGAAAGCTTTTGGACATTGCTCTCCTGGTACAGAAACCACCTTGGGAACCTGACAGTGTACAGAGCTATTTTTATTCCAAAAGGTGAGAAATAACAGTGATGGCACCAAATGCCTTCATTTCCCTGTATTTCAGGGCTCAAACTCACATTATAAATGTGTTATATTGTAATATGTTTCTATAAAGTGCCATTTGCACATGATCATTTTTGCCCTCGCAGAGCCAGGCTGCAAGCCTGCACGCAGAGAGCAATTTTGGCACAGCTATGGAAAAAGGGGGTGCAGGACCTTCTCCTGCCCTGGCTCAAATTGCACAGGCATTTCTTCAGCAGCAATATAATTTTAAGCAGCTTTTGGTTCCCGGCACTTAACTCCAACCCTGTTGTACCTACAGGACCATCAGATCCAAGCATTCATGTGGCTTTGTGATGAGTCAGATGGGGAAAACAAACTACGTTAAAATTAAAATTAACCCTGCAGCATGGACTGGGAATCTACTCTCTGAAAAATACTGGAAGGAGAGACTGAAGGAAAATGAGGCAGAAGCAACAGGGGAAAGTGCTGGCCACAGTCACAGATTTTTTTGTTTCAGATTGCTCCTGGCAATCATTCTTCTCATTTAGAGGAAGGATGGGGAGATTGCTTTCACCAAGAGAACAGCTCTCAACTTTTCTTCCCAAATTCAGTCCAGATCTTGAGCACTGCTATGAAACTCCCTGAAGGTTTTACTTAGACCACATTGGGGTTTAAGTCAAGTTAGTAGAAACGATCAGCTGGGATTTGAATTTAGGTTTGCGTGGAGCTCCAGGGATGCTCCAGCGAAAGGACACCCTTTCCCAGGTCTGGTCAGAACCAAACAGTCCCACAAGAAAATAAGCAGCTTTGTAATTCCAGGTACACTTCCCTAACACATCCAGAGTAACTCTCCTATGGTTTTCTTCAGTAAACGATGAGGAAGGCTAGGAAAAATGTCAGTCTAGTAATCCTCTAGAGGGGCCTGCAGAATCTAACCTCTGCTTAGTGTGAAGAGCTTTGAAATCAGAAGAAATGCTACCGCTGCCACACCACGCTCCCCTCTCTGAGCAGTCATGGCTGGCAGCCTCTTGCCGTGCTCCTGGGCTTTAATTTACACATCACCCCATCGAACGGCCTCAGGGTTCCAGAGTCCAGGATTTTGAAACTCTGTCCTGGCACCAGCTGGAATTCAAACCTCTGCAGCAGTTTCGCCATCACCACTTTCGCCTCCATCTGTTGAGAAGGAAAGAAAACTTGTGGTCAGTGACAGCAAATACAGCCTGGACTGCAGCCACTTAAGAGTTGGTGCATTATATCACGCTGCTTTGTCAATGCAGAGGTTTAAAGGTTAAATGTGGCACCATGGGCCTGGTGGGGACCTTCCCTCTAGAGGGAAGAGGGTCAGTGCCCCATCAGAGTGGCCCTTGGTCCCCTCCACCCTGAGCTGGCCCAGTGCCCACTAACAAAGCATCGTTCCAGGCCTCTGCTTACCTGTGCAAACGCCTGCCCAATGCAGGAGCGGGGTCCCAGAGAGAATGGAAAATAGCAGTAATACGGCCTGCAAAGTAGAATGTTCAGACCTGTTGATCTGACAGCTTGGTTGGGAAAAAAAAACCAAGCAAGTATTTAATCACAGCAGCAAGGAAATGCTCTAACTACCACCTTACCCAGTGGACTTGTTAAGACAATATCCAAATTACCATTTTTTTTGGTTCAGAGCAGCAATAAGACTCTGGAGTTTCATCACCTCTGCTTACCGTACGGCTCAGCTCACACAGCAGTTCTGATGCGTGCAAGCCTTATTTCCAAGCTGAGTGTCAAGTGCGCTGTAAGTGCTCTCCAAGCCGTCACGGGGATGTAACGATCCACCCACTTATTGCTCCTTTGGGTGGCTCTGAACCATGCGAATGAGGCAGCGTTTGGTTTTGGATACCAGACTGACTTCAGGCTGAAGTAAAACCCCTGGCTCATGAAGGTGTTACAGATCACAGAATATCAGGAGTTGGAAGGGACCTCAAAAGATCATCCAGTGCAACCCCTGCCAGAGCAGGAATGCCAGCTGCAGCCCATGTGGCTGAACAGCACCCTCTGTCCCTCAGCCCCTTGTCCCCTCTCTAATTCGTAGCATCCTGGGGCCAGGGCTGCCATGCAGTAAATGTTTATATTGTGCTAAGGCAAATATTCAACCTGCTTTGGGCCCAAAGCTTTGACCTCCATATAAACATTAAATAACATTAGTACTGGTCTTTTTTGTAAGGTATCATGCAGTCTAAAGAACTTCTGAATAAAAGGTACACATTATTGCTCTCTATTTGCATTTGGATGAGGCTTTAGCATTACTCATCCTGGAATGGAAAAGTAGTTTTGTTCTACTTTCTTCCCCTTGAAATCTCTTCCCGTAATGGTTCTTTATTACATATTTATTACAATAACCTGAGAGTTCAAAGAAACTCACTTAGGTGCATCTTTGCTAAATCGGTCTGGATTGAAAGTGAGTGGATCCTGGAAATACCTCTCCATCCTTCCCATTATGTAAGTGCTGAACTGTCAAGGAAGAGTTGATTTGCATTAGTCAGGAGCAGCAGAATGTACAGCCTCTTTGCTGTACAAAACCATAACTGCCTTCCACTCCCTGGGCAAACGTGATCCAGAATCCCAATCTATACCCCAATTTTGGCCAAAACTTCAGAGAGGGCAGCAGAAATACACCCAAGGGGGATTTCAGCCCCCTGATACACAGATCCACGACACTTGGATCGACTGCAGCAGCTGAAAGCTGTTGCTGGTGGATGGGACTCACAACGAGCATGGTGTTGGCAGGGATGGTGATGCCGTTGATGATGTACTCCTCCTCCAAGCGGCGCACCGTCCCTGGGGCAGGCGGGTACAGCCGCAGCGACTCCTTCAGAACCTGCAACGGCAAAAAGCACAGAAGGTCAGTTAGCTATACAGGGTAGGAAGCAGAAATAAAATTAATTACCTCCCCATGGCCTTTTACATTTGCTAAATGGGAGATTTTGACTTGTGAAGCAGATGCTGGCGTATCTGCCTCGGACTCCTGCAGGTAAAATACATGGCTAAGTCAGCTCCTTCAGGCCTGGTCCATTCTTGTGACTGGTAAAATACAGAAAAAATAAGGAAAAACCACAAGAGATCCCATGCATTGAACAGATTTAACACCTCGAGTCAGGTCAACAACTAAGCGAAAAAGCACTGGGAAGCAAATTCAAAGGGAACATCTAAGAGTGAAATCCCATGCCCCCCATGAGCCATTTTCGGCGCTGGCTGCCACGAGGATGGGTGGCTGCTCCCACCTCCTTCCCCCTCTCAGCACAGCTCCTGCCTTTGTCCTGCTCCTGCTGCTCAGGGAGCTGAGCCAGGTCACAGCATCAGAATGACAAAAAACCAACCTGGCAAAGGACAGTGAATAGGGAACAGGGAGAAAAAATAAAAGAGACCAGTTCTTTTGGTGGCAGTGAGCTGTAAGAATGGCTTACTTCATCAAAGTGAAACCTAATTAACAGCGCACATTAGCATCGCTCTGCAAATGCAATTAACGGTGCGTACGCACGAGTGGATTAATGAGACAGCGGCCTGGACAAAGGGATTCAGAATTGCCTGAGTGGCAGGAGAGCAGTGCTGTGGTCTCTGATTCTCCAGTGATGGACTGGCTCTGACCAAAGGCGACTGTGATTCTGGTTGTACGGATCCAAGCTTGTTGTGTTAAATAAATGCTCTGCTTTGAGAGGCTCTCGTGTGATGTGTCTTAAAACTGAAAGGCTTAGATAGCTCGTCCTAATTGGAGTGGTGTAATTGTGATGGTGTTTACAGGAGCCTAGGGAAACCTGCTGATTTCTGAAATCACAAAGAGGTGCCTTTTGCTAAGGAGAAATACACCTTGGGAATCGATCCGTGAGTTGGGGATGGGATATGGCAAACGACAAAACACCATAATGTGCCTGGACAGGGGAGGTTAAGAGAAGAGCAATCATGGCAGATTACTAAAATCATAGGTAATATAAGCGGGATAGCTGCCAGGACTGCGATTCAGCTTCTCCTGAGGGCTACTGGTGTCCCCTGTCTTGTAAAAAAGGGTATGTGACACAAATGCTGAGGAGTAGCCAAGCCCTGGCTTTGTAGTTCATTACCAACCTGTATTTCTATACACAGCTCCACTTTAGGACCAAGAATTCCTCCCACCCCTCGAGTGACTGAGGGTTTCCAGACTGAATAATTAAAATTGAAATTGCAAAAACAAGCCATTATTTCTGGATGTCCTCAAATCCCGCCAGGTTTATGGTGCATGGCAAGATCCTAGCTGGAAATGCTTTAATAATAATCAAAAATAGATCTGGGAGTTTGGGAAGTGCCTGGGACTCACGCACAGGCTGGGCTTAAAGTTGCAAACCCTTCTTAAAACACAGCTATTGTTTCAGCTTAAATAGGCAGGGATTAAGCTGGGTGATAATTAAAGCAAGCAGTGAAGGAATCATGTAGGATTTTGGCAAGAAATTTGAGGAGCAACTTTCCCAGCCAGGCTGGGCTGCTGCAAACGGCTCCTGGTACCTCCTCACTGACTCTCTGGGGACAAACACTGTCACCATCAAATACTGGCATTGCTCTTACAATTTCAGGAGCATGGGGCTCCTGTTGGCAGTCCCATGGGATGGCAGGAGTTGCCAGCAAACGCTCCTGACTGGTGCTTCACCTCACGCCTACGGTACCTGCGATAGGTAGGTGAGCTTGCCAAGATCCTCGTAGTGAATGTCTCTCCTGGCACCCAGAACTTCATCCACTTCAGCCTGAAGCCTGCAGTTAAATTAAAAAATACTCATTGGAGACGCTCATTTCTTGCTCGGCAACTCCACAAATTGCATTTTTTTACTTTCCAGACACTGAGTTGGACTTTGATTCCCATCCTCAGGCAAAACGCTGATTCCCAGCCAGCCTGCCTGAACTTGTGCCTCACGTCAGGATGGAGCAATGCGTGCACAACGCAGCTGAATCAGGAATCAGGACCAGCTTTGTAGAGAGGCTTGGAAAAAACAATTATTCCAATTATTCTAAAATTTTTCAAAATTTTAGATATATTGGGACGATAAAGTTTTATTTTTGGAGGCCAGAATTTATTTGGATTGCTCCTAGCTTTTTAATAATCCTTATAATTAAGTCCACCTTGAAATTAACACAGAGCTGGGTTTCCAAACTGGAGCGCACGTACCTTTCCAGTATTTCAGGATGCTGAGCCAGCGCCAATACTGTAAATGACAACTGATTGGCAGTGGTTTCATGACCTAATGACACCAAAAATAGTTTAAATGTCAGTATGAAATAACAACATGACACAAAGATGGTCTACTAGGGCAACTGTGAACAGGAAACTTTAAACATCAGGCTCCAAATGTTTCGAGTATGCTGGAAATTAAAGGAAACACCAGAAGGGATGTAAGTTCTACATACGGAGCTTTCAAGAATGACAAGAACAAGACATGGCTCGTAAAGATATGAGCCATCTTGCCTAACCCAAAGCTGCAGTGGCTGCTATGTGATGAGTTCCCAAGAGGACCAGTGAGGTTCAACATTTGCCTTGTCTTGTTGTGGGACACGTCATCCTGCCAAGCAGGAAGGATTTACTGGTTTTGCAGGAAAACAGAGCTTCTAATGGTCTTTCTTTGAAATGTTTGCTTTATGGGGACAGCTTTCAGTTTTTCAACGGTAGGTACAAGTATAATTTTAAAGCATCACAGAAAACAGACTTCTGCAAAGCTGTATTTGTTGCAATAACATCTTTCTTGTGAGAGAACAATGTTTTGACCTCACCTTCTTAAGAACCTAAATCCTACTGACCTCTTAAGATTGATCTTTCTTAGGTTGTCTACCTCACGTATCATCTCAGCCCTCAATTCTTCAGGCTTGACAGTGCCCTCTTTTATAAGCACTGAATAATGCTCTTAAGGCAAGAACAGTGTTTGCTGACGTGGATGAGGTGACGTGAAGACACATGGAATATATTAAAGATGCTTTCAGTGGGGTTTAGTTGGATCTGGTGTTACTTGCTGTGTTGCTATGACCAAGGCAGGACAAGGAAGTTTAGTTGGATGTGGCGTTATTCGCTGTGTTGCTATGACCAAGGCAGGACAAGGTATCATATGCCTATGAGAAAACTAAGAATTCTCCTCAGACCTCACCCCGCTGGTCTTACACCAGTACAATTCTGCTGTCTCCCAACCAAGCGACTCCTGCTTACAGCAGCATCGCTTGGAGCGAGCAAGGACATTAATCATCACCCTGTAGACAGCCCAAGCATGAGTACAGCTTCCTACATGATGTTTCAAACATTAAAATAGCTACCAACCCGCAACAAAGAAAGTGATGAAGTTATCCAGAATGTTTTCATCATCTCTGGTTTCCTCCAGAGCTGTAAAGACAGAAAACCAAGAGATTAGAAAACATCTCCATGCCCCAGCTGGAAGAGCCAGAGTGGCTGGCCCTGTCTGGGATATTTTGGCTGAGGCAGCATCGGGAGGGGGTGCTGAGCGGGCAGCTTAGTGGTGACTTGTGACCAATATTTGATGCAACACACAGAAACAGGGACTTTTCAAAGCAACTCTCACTATTTTCAGTGTGAAAAAGACATTAAAGGAGGAAAACAGCAACGTGTTCCCTACCATCTCCTTTCAGTATCTGCGTGAGAATATCCAGCGTGGCTTCCTTCCCGCTCCGGATGGCCTCTCTCCTCTGCTCAAGGCACTCCTTCCCCGCGCGCCGCAGCAGCCTCACGCTCTCCCTGACCTCCTTCACCAGCTTCTGTTTCCCTGGCATGTACTGAATACAGAATTCCTTCAGTTATTTTAATCCTTTAGCTGGTAATAAATATCCTGTTCTGGGCAGGAACAACCCCAGGTTCCAGTAGTGTTATTTTGCAAGCGAGCACCTTGTTTGCTGCTAAATGACATTTGTTACAAAAAACATCCGCTCTCCACAGAACAAAGCGAACAGCCACAGGGTGAAGAGTTTGGGCTGAAATAAGAGATATTTCAGTCTCTGCACGCTGGTGTCCTGCCTTGTCAGAGCTGATGTTTTGGGCACCGTGAGCAAAGTTCCTCACCTCTCCATGGAAAGAAACTGCAGCATGCAATAAGGAATCTCACCTCTGGGCCCAAAAAGGAGAACAGGAGCTCTAAAAGCCTGAAGTACAGCTTTCGTGAGGAACTGGGGAGTGCTTTTTAACTTAAATATTTCATATTACATCCATAATTTCTTAGTATACGAATTTGGGTCAAAAATGCAATTTTTTTATGGTAAGAATGTTCAAATTTCTTCCACTTTGAGTGAAGGCTGTCATCTGTCTTGGAAAAATGGCAAAAATCTCAATTTTTGCAGTGATGGGTATGAAAGTGTAAAAACAAATGAGAAGATGACATAAGCTGGGGAAATAAAAGGCAGAAAGACAGAAAGGAAGCATTAAATGTTAATTTTGCAAGTGGTTTAGAGCACTAATGAATTTCATCTTGATGGATGTTTGAGGGAAA